TTAATAATACTTGTTTTATACTTTTATTAATATCTAGTAACTTGTTTATATTTTAAATATAATAAAATAATGTAAATATGAAATACTGTAAAATTTAAAAGAAATCTTATCGCCATAATTTTAATATCCAAAAAAAAAAAATTTTTCTAACGAATATTTAGATAATTTATATCTATTATCGGCTGTAATTTTTGAATATCATTTGGTATTGACAAAAGGTGATCTTTTTTTATTATTGCAATATTAATTGCTTGTACTTTCATTTATATTTTTCAAAGTTGAGGATAATAAAAAAAACAAAATAAACAAAATAATCGATGATGTTTACCATTAATAAATTTTCATATCTTGAATATAGATTTTAGCATATAAATGTTGCTTTTTTATTAAATAAAGCAACTCGTCTTCTATAATATATTAATAAGTTCGTTAAGATTTTCTTTCCATTAGAAATTTTAAAAGTATAATTTGCCTAAAAATGAAAATTATTAAATTATATTATTAAACTTATCACAAAAAAGTAACAAATTTACCTTTTTTTGTGGTTTTTAAAAAGTGGTTCTTCCATTTTTTTTTAAGAATTTAATATAAATGATGAGAAAGAGAATGATAATGAAATTTTCTTCATAATTTTAACATCATAAAATCACACGATAATATCATTATTGTGCTTGCGTTGATAAAAATTCATGATGATCAGAATTGGACAATAATTACAATAATTTTGATATTAATCGTTGCAAAGCACAATAACTTATAATTATAGATATAAAAATCGCATGCATTTCATAGTAAAAAATCAAAATATATAGAAAAACGTAAAAATTCACTAACTTTCCAATTATATTACCAAAAATATTACATTAAATTATGTGACATAAGTGGTTACAATTATAGTTTGATGTACATTAATATTCTTTTTGCCCTTTTATGCTTAATAGCTTAATTTGTTAAAAGAATCTTGATGTTAAAGTTAACATAAAATCCAATATATTAGAATAAAACACATGAAGTAAATGAAAATACTTTCAAAAAAATATTTTTTTGTATTATAGTGATTAAAGTATATATACAGAAATAGAATTATTCATATTTAATAAAAAAATTATATTAATGCATAAATAGCATTTAAAAATGAAATTATAGATCAATTAAATGATGAAAATGTAGATTTTGAAGACCAAAAAGTTTTTCTACCTTTACTTTAACCTTCATTTCAACCTCTGCTTCTGTCTTTATTAACACTTGTAGAAGAAGTAAATTAACCTATTTATATACTCATCCAATTATAAATAAAAATTTTTTATCATATATTTTATTAATTATTTAGATAATAAATTATAAACATATGGTTAAACTAAAAATATTAAAAATATATGTCAGTTAGTTAAAATTTGGTTAATTGATAAAAATATATCAGAATTTTAATCAAAAGAAATACTATTAGATGTTTATAACCATTTTAAATATAATTAAAAATTATAATACATATATAAAAATAAAATAATTGCAAAAGCTTGAACAAAATAAAGTTTATCCTTAATGTTATTTATTTTGTTTTAAAATTTTTATTTTTTTAGTTGTGAACTTAGATGTAAAGATTATTTATAAAAATTATGATAAAAAATATTTAAATTTCATATATTATACTTTATACATGTAAAGCAATACATGAATATTAGAATATTTCTAAATGAATTTTTGATAATATTTCAATAATTTGATATATTTATTATAATTATTATGAATCTTATAATGAGTATTTAAAATATAAAATTAGTTCTGAAAAAAATTTGATTGTAAAAATGAATTGCATAAAGATACTATATTTAAAAGTTTAAAAAGAAATAAAGAAAATAATTTTTGCTTTTATGTTAATTATAATCTTAAATTTTTTATTTATTTTATCTGAAATCTCTTTAAAATATAAATCTTATAATTCTAAAAATAACATATTATTATTTTAATGATTTATCTATATCTTTAATTATTATTTTATCTGAATTATCTAGTTACTTTTATTTTAATGTCATAATTAATATTATAAATCTAAAAATAGAATAAGAATTAAGAATAAAATTAGAAAATAAAGTATGGAATTTATATAAAATAATTATAAAAAAAAATCAGAAATACAATTACTAATTTTTTTTTATATTATTAATAAAGTAATTATTTAATAAAAATAAAATCATATAAATTACACAGTATAATAATCTCTTAGTATTAAATTCTAAAAATACTGAGAATTCTATGAATTCTAAAAATATAAAAGATCTATAAAATTTTGCTAATTTTCCAAATACTGATAATAATTCTAATTTTACAAATTTTTCAAAGTTTATAAATAATCAATTTAATACTTATTTTATATTTTACTTTTTATTATTTTTCTTTTCTTATTACATAATATTATTATTAGTTTATTTATATTTTATTTATTATATAATTAGTTTATATTATAGCTATTAGTTAGCTATAATAAAAGAAAATTTATATAAATAGATAGATGTTTACTTATATTGTAATTTAATCTTTTACAAGTACAAGTTTTAATATATGATAAATAAATCAATCAAAACTTATACTTTTAGTTACTTTATATTTTTATATAGTTTAATATGATCCTTATATAATATTTATAATTGAGTTCATCATCTGAATTTTTTAATTAAATTTGTTTATGATTTTTTTTTTAAGTTTTTATATATGACAGATTTAGTAAGTTTAATATATAAATTTGATAAAATTAAAAGTTAAGTAAATTTTAATATCTTAATCATAATTAGTAACTTTAAGTAGAAAATTAAGAACATAGTTAATCTGAATTAAAAAAAAATTTGTAATAACAATGCTATTTTGTAAGTTTTTCAAAATTTTTAACTAGTTTTTTAATGGATTAATTAGTAAAACTTTTAATAAAAAATTAATAAATTTAAATATGAAAAAAAATATATAACTAATAATTGAAAAACTAAATAATAAAAATATTATTAAATATGTAATATTTATATTTTACTTATTGTAAATATAATATTTTCTTATCTTAATATTTAGTTCACTTAAGTAATAACTAATATGTTTTAAAAATTATATTTTTTTTATCATTTAAGTGATTTTTATTCATTTTTTATATAAGTAAATATACTAATAGTTATGAATATTAAATATAAAAAATAGATAATTAAAATTAATTTAATAGAAAGAATATTAAAAGGGTTAGATATATATTAAAAAAGGTTTTTATTTATATAAATATTTTTGAAAAATTTTTATATAACTCTTAAAATAATATTTTAAATATGAATATCATTTTATTTAAAAAAAGGCATATAATTAAAATCATTATTTATCTATTAGGTTTTTTGATATAAATAATCAAATTAAAACACATAAGATATATATGATAAAATTATAAATGATCTTTAAATTTTTAGATCAACTCTGAAAATTAAAGTTATTATAATATAAATTTTAATATGATAATAATTTATCAATAAATTTTTGAAAATATTAATTATAATTATTAATCTAATGCAACTAATATAATCATTTTAAAAATTGTAGAATCTTAAATTCAAATAAAAAAATATTTTAATTTATAGAAATATATAAACTTTAAATTAGAATCATATAACTATTAAATATAGTAGCTAATAAAGTAAATTTTTAAAAGACTTATTAAATAATAAAATAATGATTAAATCTACATTTTATTCTTGGTTAATAGTATATCTCAATAAATATATTTTATGATTTTTTAAAGATAAATAAATGATAAATTATTATTAAAAAAATTTTAAATTTTAAATTTATATATTTTGCTATTTATTAATCTTAAAAATATAAAAATACTATCATTTAATAGGTTTTAATAAGATGAATCTAATAAATTGAATTTTATTTTAAATAATTATTACCCAAACTAATTAACAAGTGATTCATAAGAAATTAGACAAAATTAATTTGCTAAACAATTGAAAAGAAGTAAGTATTGAGTAATCAATTGAAATCAGTTTACAAAGGAAAATGAAGAGGAAAATAATAACCTTTTAACAGAAGAAAGTAAAAAAACTAAAAATTCTCACATTAAAAGTGTTAAAGATTTAATTATTAATGCGTAAAAATCTTTAGCAATTTCAGTAAACTGAACTGTTAGAGCTAATCATTTTCTAACACGTCACTTATATAATATGTTATTTTTAAAAAATTAAAAAAATTAAAAATTAATATAAATTAATAATTATTAATTGTATAATTTAAAAATATTATTATTAAATGTATTTTAATATAAATACTTTACAGTAAAAAAGAGAAAATTACCAAGAAAAAATTTTTTTTATTTTATAAGCTAAATATTTTTAGTAAATAAATGCAGATTTAAAATTAACTCAAAAAAAAATTATTTTTGATAGCTCTCTTCCTATTTATTGCAAAGTGCCTATATAATAAATCTAATAAATTTTATTTAATCTTTTTATAATCATTAGATATCAAAATATTTTAAGTTTTTAAAATATTTTATAAAAAATTTATACTTACAAGTTTAAGAAAATAATATAATTAGCTTCAAAAAATGAATTTATTAAATAAATAGTTTTTTTTTATTTTTTGATTATAAACTAATTTAATAAAGGAATTAACTTTAAAAATAAATAATAATTTTTTTATTTATATAAAGCTATAAATTTATTATTGAAAAATTGTTACCTTTAAGATAAAATAAAATTTTATTATAATATTTCAAAAAAAAACTAAGAATTGATTTAATTTAAATGATAAATTATTTTTTTTTTTTCTTTTTGAATTTATTATAACTTTATTTTAATTATACTTTAATGATATCGATATGACGTTCGTCTGATTTTGATGAATTAGAAAAATGATGTTCACCAATCATGTCAATCATGTCCGTCTATAATAAAAAATAAAAAAGTAAAAGTTCATTACTCAAATTTTACTTCCGTTACTTCCTTTTAAAAGATCAAAAATACTACAAAATGGGTAATGTATGTGAGTTCCAGCTTTGGTTGTATAATATGACCTTTTTTTTTTTTAAATGATCCTCAATGCTTTTATATCGAAGAAAGATGATTTTGTATTCCGATTAAATTAGAATCAAATGATTATTAGGGACAAAAAGCACAACATAAACGGGAACGAGCAAAGAATGATGCAAAAAAGGGAGCAACTAGTCAATTGAAAGCGGTAAGTTACAAGTTCAAAAGGAACAAATTTAATAATAATATTTATTAATAAAATATTTTAAAATTTTTCGAGAATAATATGTAGAAAAAAAAATAAAAAAAAAAGTACATTTTTTTACATTGGAAGAATAATTGAATTATAATAAAGTGGTTTGATTTTTTATAATTCATTTATAATTTTTTTATTTTTGTTTTTTTTTTTTTTTTTTTTAAATTAATTTAATTGATTAGAACGAAGCTGCCAAGAATATAGTATGTCAAGTTTGTCGAAATACATTCTTATGTACTGTAAGGAAGAAAGCGTAAGTATATTCGAGGATTCGGAAAATATATTCTTTCTATTTTCATTTTACAGTAGATTTTAATTTAGAATTGCTTTTTGTTCTTTTAGATTGGATGAACACGCCGGTAATAAACACAGTAAAAAATTGGAAGAATGCTTCCCAGGATTTGTGGAAACGGCAAATAAAAAGTAACAAATTCGATTAACGGCTTTCTTGGTTCTGGTCCAAAATTCTTGGCTATTTTAATTATTATTTCTATTATTAAAACTATTCGTGATTAAAGCAGATATTAATAACGATACTATTTTAAAGATCAAATTTGCAACATTAATTTATTGGAATAAACATATTTCTCAGTATATAATTATTGGTTATTTTTTTTTTTTTTTTTTTGAAAATGTAGTCAATTAAAATTATTACGAAGACTTAAAATTCTGCACTTACAATTATAACAATTTTGTTTAAAAAATTCGGACTTTTACATACATCTATAAATCGTGATCAGAACTTGTGATAGTTCTGACTGGGACTTCATAATGCCACCCAACATTAAAGTTTGTGTATCTTTGATACCAAACACAAATTTCTAAGGGAACCCGACTTTTGGTAGCATTTTCCATATATTTTATCTCTCTCGATTCGCACATAATGTCACAAACGATATTACTTTTAAAAGAAAAAACGATACAAACCGATTCAAATATAGATGTTTATGAACAAAAATTCAATGAACTAGGAGACTATACAATATTATATTTACCAGTACTCGAACATTCTTTGGTGAATATAAATGAATTAATGAATATATTAAAGAATGGAATACATAATCAATATGAAGGTGTTATAGTTACTAGTCAAAGGGCAGTTGAAGGACTCAAAGTAGCATGGGAACAAGTACTTTCTTCAGGTTAGTAATCTTTTCTTTCTTTCTTTTTTTTTTGTTAAGATTGGATTTTCCGAGTATGATTTTAAAGGTTTAAAGGTTTGATAAACTTAGGTGAAAGGATAGATGTATTAGAGGAATGGAAAGCGTTACCATATTTTGTCGTTGGTAGATCAACTGCGAAAGCTGTAAAAGAGATGTTTAAGATCGATCCACTTGGAGCTGATGAATCGGGAAATTCTGAATCATTGGCAGATTATATAATAAAATATTTTAATTCAACCCGGGGTAAAGAATTATTATTTCTTGTGGGAGATAAGAGAAGAGAAGAATTACCAAACAAATTATCAAAATCAGGAATATTATTAAAAGAATTAAGAATTTATGAAACCAAACCGAATTCATCATTTTCTACCGAATTAGATAAAATATCAGAATACCTTGTTGAAAGAAAGAAAACAATTAATTGGATAATCTTTTTTAGTCCGTCCGGAGTTGATAATTCATTAGAATTATTAAAAGTCAATTTATTAAAAGATTGGGATAAAATTAAAATTGCTAGTATAGGTAAAACTACAAGTAAATATTTAGAGAATATTAAAAACATTAAAGTAAATATTACTTCGCCAAAACCTGAAGCGGAAAGCTTGGCCGAATCAATTCATGAATATAATAAAAATTTATTATCTTAAAATAATTTTTTTTTTTTTTTTTATACAGAATAATATCTATAAAATCTTCTAGTATCCCCAACACTTAATTTACCCCACCTTTTTTCTCTACCACCAATTTGTAATTCAAAATTTTCATCTTCAACAAAAACTTCATCTCTAAAACCGACTCTTTTACCTTGTTTATAAACTTCACCATAATAATCTATAATATATAGTTTTGGGTAAGATAGACCAAAGCGAATAATAATATCAGGTTCAATGTTTCTACAGGCACCAAAATCTAATATCATTAATGAAGATAAGTCATTTCGAAAGACTCCACCCTTGGTTAATAATGATTCACACGTTATTTGATTGCAACCTGTTAACATAATTTGTTGAAGATTTGGACATCCTGACATTAAATGAAATAATGAAGGATCTGTAACATTCCAACACCAATTTAAATTTATCAGTTTTAATTGTGATTGACGAAGAAGTGATAAACTTAGATTCGTTATATTTGCACATTCTGATAAATCTAACGAGTGGAACGAATGTCCTCTATCCGATAATGCTTGAAAAAAATGATTAAACCTATTTACCAAACAAAAAGGGGGGGGGGGGGGAATCAATTAATCATATATAATTATGAAACCAATAAGTAATAACCTTAAAATAATTACCCTGCTTCGGTAAATAAATCCCCCTTTCTGAATTTTAGAAATTTAAAATTTGGTTGCAAATGTTCGATTATCTCAATCAATACTTTATCAGTTAAATATTCACAAAAAGAAACAGCTAATAATTCTAATTCCTTGCAATTTCTAAATATTTGTGTGATTGAAATATCACTTATTCCTTGCCCATCAATATCTAAATATTTTAATTTGGTAAATTTAGTTACAATTAACTCAATTCCAAGGTCTGTTACTTTATCACATCCATCAATACTTAATTTAGTTAAAGTTTGCAAGAGAGGATTAGGATATAAGAAAAGTGACTCAATTGAGTTATCATTTATTAATATACAATGTGATAATATTAGCGTTGTTAATTTACATAATGAAGTTAATGGTGATATATTGGATATTTTTCTGCATCCTTCTAGAAAAAATTGTTCAAGCGATGTACAATTCTTTCCAATAAGTGATAATGATTCATCTGTAATTTTTGTGACAGAAAGGTCCAACACTACAATGAAGTAAGTTAGTTATTTTTAAAATCAAAAAAGAAAAAAAAAAAATATTTTACAATTCGAAAATTAATATTTAACCTTTAAGAGTATTTCTAGCAGAACTAGCTAACAATTTCTTGACGAATACATCATTAATTTTGAGAGCTCTAGCATCCAATGCTTGCACGCATTTCAAGATTTCCAAGGTTTTATCAAGCTCAAGACCTTTTATGTTATAAATTACTACTTCCTGCCAGAAACATGGCGCGTACATTAAAGATCTAAATGCTTTAGACACTCTACACAAGTTTAAACGTACTTCATGTGTCAAAAAAGAAAAGATAATTAAACTGACTTCGTTGGGAAGAAGTGGGAAGGCTCTGCCTGAATATTTTGGTGTATTTTCAACTGTTGAAGTAGTGGTTAAAATCGGTAAAGTCATAGATACTGGAAAAATTAACAATTTTGAAAAGAAAAAAACAAAAAAAAGGAGTATCTCAGAATTATAAATAAATATAGAAATTTGTACAACCATTCGACTTGATTCGACTTGATAAAAGAAATTTATTTTTTCAACATGCAAGATAAAGAAATAATTAATATATTGATTGTATTATTTAAATTAAAGATAAAAAAAAAAAATTATTAATTTAATATAGTCCTGAAAAAGCTTGTCTTCTGAAGTTTCGTTTTACTTCGTTCAATAAAAATAAATATATAATGAGTTCTTATATTTCTCTCAAAAACAAATCGGATAATGAAGCCATTTCTTTAATATTGACTTCATTATTAGCAAATCAAGTTGGTATGTTTCAAATGCTATTTTAAAGTATCGAGAGTCGAATAGTATTTTAATGTCACTTATTTAGGGTTGACGAGTATCCCGTTGAATACAAAGACAGAGTTGGTTGCTTCTTTGTTAACTGATCTCGACGAAACTGGAGTTCAAAAAAAATGGAATGATAATGGTATTTTTGAACTTTGACTTGAATGTCAAAAAAAAAATTCTTTTTTAATCTTAATTACTATAATCTAGTTCGTTTGCAAGCTTTACAAGTTCTAAAAATTCTGGGACGCGATGCGAAGGGATGTGACAACTTGTTCTCCGATGAGGTACTACAAGTGATCATGATACAAAAAAAAACCGATATTGAAGTTATTATTCTGAAAAATCCTAATTAATTCACGTTTAGGGATTTAAAATATTGTTAATTCATGCAAACCTCTTAGATCCAGAATCGGGATCAAAATCATCTATAATTGCTGATACACCGGTAACTCAAGAATCTTTAACATGTATAGCAAACACGTTATTGCTTGAAGAGAATACGCGCGAACTGTTTGATAAATATAAATGTGTTCCGGGTGTATGTCAATTTCTCAAGGTAAGTAAAATATTTGGGTAGCATTGTGAATATTAAAAACAGCAATAGTCTTAATTTTTCCTTATGGATAGGATGAAGGGATTTCAATTAAAACCCAATTTTTATTGTCAAGAATCTTGTTTGTCATGACTGTTAGACCACAACCAGCTGTACAATCCCTAATCGATGATCTAGGAATAATTGATGTTTTATTTAAGGTAAGTTTGAACATAAATATTTTTCTCATCAATTTTCATAATCCATTCAACTGATTAATCTCTTTTTATAGAGTATCAGTAAATATGTTGAAGAATTATCGAGTTCAAATAATTCTTCAAGTGAAGATATCAATTCGTTGCCTATAACCAGGGTTATGGTGTTAAATGAACAATTAAAATTATTATTTAATTTAATGATGAATGATCCAAAAATTGAACGTGATAATAATCTACAAGTAAAGGGAAAATCTGTTGAGTGTCCTAGTAAATTTGAAAAGTAAGCGTTAATTATTTTATTTGATTTTTTGTTAAAATAAATAAGGAATTAATTAATCTACCCTTTTTCAATAGGTTACTTTTACCTGTATTAAAAATACTTTTAAAAATACCAAAATCTATGCAATTACCACTTTCACCTCCGCATTCACATGCAATTCATGCATTATTAAATTTCCCAGTAGAGCCATATAAATCAATCTGGTTCCCTCCATCTAGTGAAAAAAAAGAACAATATGTTGTCTGTTATAATTTAATCGATATGTTAAAATCGATGGTCTATACGATTGTAAAAAATGACCCTGATGAAATTATTAGTAAAAACGAAAATAATTTGGATTTTGATGAAATCATCACTCCTTTAGTTGTTTTAATTAAAAAATTAGCCGACGAAGATAATGATGCTAAAATTTTAATAGGAAATGAATTATTGCCAGATAACGTGTAAGTAAACTGTAAAGTTCGCTTTTTATTTTATTTTTAAAAAAAAAAAAAATTTTTCAACTGAATTTTTCCCTTCTTTTTGATAGAGATCGAAGTAAACCTTTAGAAAAAGGAGATAGTTTAACATCTAGATTGATTAGGCTGATGACTTCTGTTATGTTACCACACTTAAAAGACAATGTCAGCGAACTATTATTCAGTTTATGCGATCAAGATGGTAAGTCTTACTTGTTATAATCTTGTTTTTTTTTAACATTAATAAATTCTTTTAAATAACATTCTTTAAATATCATCCCCTTCTTAAAATAGCAAACTTATTTGTTCATAACGTTGGTTATGGAAATGCAGCAGGATTCTTAATGAATAGAAATATTATGATACCGCCATCGACTACCGCTAAATATTCAGATAAATCAATTAATCCTATAACAGGTCAATATTTTGATAACGAATTACCTTCTTTATCAAATATGACTGATGAAGAAAAAGAAAGGGAAGCAGAAAAATTATTTGTTTTATTTGAACGTCTTAAAAAAACTGGTGTAATGAATGTGGTGAATCCTATTGAAGAAGCTATAAAGTCTGGAAAATTTCAAGAATATGAGGAAAAATTCAAGGAAGAGGAGGATGATTAAAATTTTTGACAGAAATTATTAAAAAAAAATAAACCATTGTGTGACATATATGCGTGACGAATAGGATTTGATACCCTAAAAAAGAGTGAAGGGGGGTGACATTATGTGATAAATAACGGAGGTTCCCCTTGGTGTGATTTACAGTTTGTTCTTTGCATCAATTAAACAATTAAACAAATGATTGATCTAGTGACTTTTTTTGCCTTCTTTTCCCCTTTCGAAAAGGTGTGCAACGTTTAATCGGTTCGTTACCGATATTCTCGAATCAAAAATAAATTGAGAGATGGTGATCGACGATTTGTCAGAAAATTTTAACCTCACACAAAAGAATTCATTACCATATTTGTTTTGTTCTTAAATTAATTGAACCCAAAATAAAGTTTATTGTGTATTTCAAGGATCAAAATACCGATGATAAAATAATTCATCTCCCCATAAATTTAATTATTACTGTGTAATTTAATAGATGCAACTAATATGACGAATTTGATTTACTAGGTTTCTAGGTCAAAAAAAGGGAACACAAGGATGTGAAAAAAAAAATTAGTTTTAACTATTGAACTGGAAATTTAAACATCTATATAAATAAAAGGGATGTTTTTAAATACCTTTATTAACTTGTGCTTCGTTCTTCATAATCAAGAAGGACACTCACTCCCACCATTACCCTTCTCTTTTTAAGGCGGAAGCAGTTGTTAGTTGTTGCTTAGTGTAGATCATCAGTAGTTGACGAAGGGGTAGCAGTTTTTAAGGAATCCCTTTATTTTTTACTTTCATAACCAATTTATTTTATTTCATTTTTTTTTTTTTCTTCCCCTTTTCCACCCGTTATCTTATTATTATTATTATCATTATTTTATTATTACCCTTACTATTATTATTATATTATAATTACCATTATTTTAATTACTTGAGTTGAAAAAGATGAATTTTGTTCGAAGAGGTTGCTTTAAGTGCGGTAATGGTTAGTATATATTTGAACTTATAAACCGATGACCTTTACAACTTGATCGAGATCTAACTCCTCATCTCAGTTCATGTCTTCATAAGTTATGACAGTCTATTTATTTATAAACTAACGAATAGTTTATTTTGTTAAAATATAACCTTAGTCGGTCATTTTGCCGATTCTTGTCCAGAACCAGAAAGGTTATGCTACAACTGTAAGCAACCTGGACACGAAGCTAACCAATGCCCTCAACCCAGAACTGCTGAATCCAAACAATGTTACTCGTGCGGTGGGGGTAAGGATTTAATTCATATTTTAATTCGATACAAACTATTTAATAGAATCTAATTCAAATTTTCTATTTTAAATTATAGTTGGACATCTTCAAGCCGACTGCCCCTCCGTCCGTGTTAACAATGGTGGTGGATCGGGAGGTCGCTGTTACAACTGTGGCCGCTTCGTAAGTTCTTTTTTTTTTATGATTATTACTTTTACGTTTTTATTAAAAAGTATGAATTAATTAATTAATACATGATGAAATTCATTCAGGGTCATTTGGCTCGTCAATGCAGGAGTGGTGGTTATGGAGGACATCGAGGTGGTCGTCGTGGTTATGGTTATGGCCACGGTCACGGTCACGGTCACGGACATGGACATGGTCATGGTCATAGTCGCATTATTTGTTATCAATGCGGTGGGTTTAACCACTTTGCTAAAGATTGTCGAGCTAGTGGAGTAAAGTGTTATAATTGCGGAAGATTTGGACATATCGTAAGTTTAAACTTTTTTTGTGGGGAAAGAAAGGCCTTTCAAGTGCGAAGATAGCCTAACTTTTCTTTTTTAAAAAAAATTGTAGTCTCGTGATTGTTCTACTGCTCCTGTCGATAAGTCCGTAAAAACATGTTATAATTGTAGAGAACGAGGCCACATCGTAAGTTTACTATTTGAAATATTTTAATTAAATAATGAATTTATCAATATATTTAATTATTACGCGTTTTTATTATAATTTAAAATAGGCCAGGGATTGTCCCAACGCGCAAAGTTAAAAATTACGCACCAAGTTAAATTGGTAAAAAAAAATAAAAATAAAAATAAAAAAAGGAAAAAAACAGAATTGAAATACGATCTAGAGCCATATCAAGTTTTTTTTAGTAAAACTTTTTATTTTAGGAAACCCTAATTAATATTTGAATGTCCTCAAACAACTTAATAATAATTCTTTCAACCATCTTTATTTTAAAAATTTATTCGAAAATAAAATTAACAAAATATTTACTTATTTTTTTTTTTTTTTTTTTTGATGCTAAATATATATAACCCTAACCCTATCATCAACCCTTCTAAATTTTTATCCTCATTTCATTTCTTACTTTCTCCATATGGTGTCATCAATATTTTTTTTTTTTTTCCTTTCACCTCATTGAAGCGAAGACTTGTCAATAAAAAAAAAAAAAATAATAATAATATTTTTATATATCTCGAAAAGGTATACATAAATATTTATACAAAGATATTTTATTGTCGAAATAAAAAAAAAATAAAATGATAAAATAAATACAAAAAAAAAAAAAAAACGAATATACATTGTGCAATATAAAGGAAAATTTCACGCACACATCATCTACGAACAACAACAATGCCACCACTGAATACAATAAATACTACTGATTAATTAAATAATGTCCAAACGATCATCCCGTTCTTAATTTTTAATCTCTTCTAGAATAGGAATTATCTCTTCCCATAATTGCATCCCCTGAATAAAAGGAATAAAATTTATGTAAGACTTAAAATATATCACATAAGTATACATATATGTATTATATTTTACCTGACGATAAAATTCAACGTGTCTATCGGTATAAGCTAGCAAACATTCTTTTAATTCAACAGTCTTCACATTTTGAAATATTTCGTATTCTCTGGCTACCTCATCAGAGAATTTCTCAGAAATGTCATTACTACTCTCAACCTCTTTGCTCAACTAAAAAATGATTTAATAGATTTAAAAAATTGAACCAACCTTTTTTTTTGCTTAATAAGAAAAGGAAAGGAAAGAAAAAACTACCTCATTAATCTTGGCATCTAATTTTTGTATCCTCTCTTTTTTAGATTGTTCTTGATCAATATTCTTAATATAATCCACTTTTTCACGTAAAAATGAAGAAAGTCCCATAGATCCTTTACCAGTACTTAAAATATTTTCTTTCTCAGTCCTAGCTCCTTGAAGATATTCTGAAAGTTCTTCAAAATCAACTTGTTTCTGATCTCGAAGTTTTAAAACATTCTAAATTTATTAAAATTTTTTATTCAAGTAAATTGTTATGATCATTAATATCTATCAAGCTTATAATTTTTTTTAGAAAATCAAACCTTGATACAGTGACAATATGAGAGAAATTCTCGAATTTGATTCAAATATTCATGATCTTCTTGATCCGTCTAACAAAGGAGGTTAAAAGGTTTTATTTTTTTTTTTTTAAAAAAAAAAAAATTATTAGGTGTACAAAAGAATGAAAGGTTAATGTCAAACCATTTGCTTCCATGCATCCGAAAATTTATTAATTGCCTCTCCAAATTTCTCGAGTTGCCTGGAAATCCCAGTTTCCAATTGTCCCAGGTTAACGATACTAGCACCGAATTCTCTATAATCAGCATCCAGATCTAAAATCCGAAAAATCTTTTTTAGTAAAGCTCGACGCAAAAAAAAGTTCTTTGAGAGTAATTTACCTGTCTGTCGTTTAATGATCTTAAAATATAACCTTTCGATTGTTTGCAAGTTTTCTTCAAGTTTATCAACACTTTCCTTAATCTCAACGAATCTTTCATCAGGTTTCTTAATTCTAGAAAACGCATTAAGTAGCACATCACCTAGATTTTCAAAAACTCCGTCAGACTTCTTTTGCCTGTATAATGATTCAGCATTCTAAAAAAAAATTATATATATATATATGAATCAAAATCTAATTATTAATAAAATATTCATTTTTTTTTTAATTACCCATTCTCTTGATTCTAAGAATATTCTAAAATATTCACTGTTTTGTAAGGTTGGATGACGAGCTAATCTCTCTAAAAATCTTTGAAGACTATCCTGACGCGTATTTTTTTTCAATGAAAATTATTTTATTATTCATGAAAGTCATTAAAAACGTGAGAATTTTTTTTAAAGTTCCTTTTACCTTGCACGACGTTTCTCAACGAATTCTGGTCCAAATCTATCGCCGGTTATGTATTCTAAAGAGAAAAAAAAAAAAAAAAAAAGAGAGAAAAATAATTAATTTAGTAAAGAAAAAAAACTTTCTCTTCATTATAAAGATAATCGCCTCACCTAGTCGATGTTTATCAGGTAACGGTGGAACTACACACGCGGCAAAATCTTGATTAAGAGAATTATGTAACAATACAAAATCTTGAAACCTTCTCCTAACAACCACTTTTGGATCAGTGAATGAATCTAAAGTAGTCTAAGTATCAATGATAATTAACAATTTACCACTTGTTATACTAAAGTTTTTAATGCACCAATTATAAAAATACCTTTGTGGTAATAAGATAGGAGATGAAGGCTTCCTTAGTACCATCAAGTTCTTTAATCGGGTCAGTAACAGTTATGGTCATAGCGTGTGCTACGGGTACCGTAATATTAGGAACAAATGAATCTGTAGTAGGATGTTGATTGTCTTTATGTTCTTCGTTGGAATTGGAATGATTAATCGTTGAAGGTGCCAATGTCTGATTAATTTAATGAAGAATAGAAATGAAAAGTTCACTTTGTAAGAAAAATAATTCCAGCCTTGCAAAAATAACTTAGTTGACTATCTTATAACACTTTAAAAATCAATATTTGTAATATTGTAATTTGCCAAATATATATATTATCAAAATGGTTCATTCAACATACTGAAAATATAGAATTATTAACTGCACTAAAAGTTGAACTATCAAGATCTTGAGAGGGCTCTTCATTATCTTCGTCCAGCAAATCTTCAGGCTTAAAGGAATCAGTAGCCCCAGTATCCCAAGAGACGCTACTATATTCGTCGTCTTCGAAACTCATTATCGAATAATTATAATAATTTCGAATTAAATAAAAGTATGAATAATTCTTTTTTTTTGGAATTTAAATATTTTCATGAAAGTAATTTAACTAAATTATACAAATTTTTAACACTACAATGTCGTCTTAAAATTAATTACAAGCATTCAACTCGTTTTAAACTCAAATTCGCGAAAAATTTTAAAAGACGGAATGTCTTGAATGATAAAAAAGCTCTATAAATTTGGCGTAATATATATATAATAATTCACATCAAAAACTGCGTGATTACGGAAATAGTAGTTGTTTCACAAACAAATTAACAAATTACTTATAAATACAAGGCGGAGTATTTTTTAGTAACACTTTTTTTTTTTTCGACAAAATCACCTAACCTATCTCGAAATACATTTTATTTTTTCCTGCGATTTTTAAATATTGTATTATTTTAAAATAAAATTTAATAAATAATTTTTATCATGCTTTTTTTTTTTTTTTTTTTTTTGATTTATTAAAAAAACTAATTTTTTTTCATCTTTTTAATTGAGATAAAATAATATCGTAAATATTTTTATATAACCAATAATTAAAAAAAAAAAAAAAAAATAAAAAAATAAAAAAAAAATAAAAAAAATAATTTTTTTAAAAAAAAAAAAAAAAAGAGAAACGAACCTTTTTAACATAAAAAATTTACTCTCGTAAACTCGATCTTTTGTCAATTCTTTTTATAATATAAACAAAAGAAACTTTACAAGAAAAGGTAAGCACTCCTACCCACTAATAATACAAAAACAACCTATTCCAAGAAGAATTTTGCCTGGGTTTTATTTCGACAGGAGTTCGGGGGAAGAAGCGCCGTCTTGGAAAAAAGAAAAGGCTTGCTTTCCTCCTTTATATTTTTTATCTTCATAGATATAATAATAATAATATATATACTATTTTTTTGAAATAATTTTTTTGAGGTAATTTTTTTTTTTTTTTTTGTTATATGTACAGCTGTTAAGATATACTTTTTAAATCGTCCTTTTTTTTTTAGAGAAAAAAAAAAAAAAAGCAGAAAATTTCTACGTAAAGAAAAAAAAACAATATAAAATAATAATAATAATAGTAATAGTAATAGTAAGAATAACAATATTTGTTTTGATTGACTTTTCATTATATTTAATGAAACCCAATGCCTAAATAAAATATTGATTTTTTTTTTTTTTTTCTTTCCCTTTGAGAGCAAGAAAACAGAGGAAAATAACATATCCTCTACTTATAATACATTTTTGCTTTGAGTTCCAACCAAGGCAAAGCTGCCTCTAATTCATCGTCTTTGAAATTTTCCTCACAAACCTCTTGACAGCTCCTATAGAATTCTGTGACATTGCTTCTATTTCTTGTAAGAGTGTCAGCATAACGTTGTCTATCCAATTTTTTAAGCATATACGCAAACCGCATGTCTCGTAAAGTACCAAAAGCCACTGGGATTTTATGTGATGATTTAAGTTCGGCAACGAAATCCTCAAATCTAACTGTTGGACGAGCGTTACTGTTGCGAGAAAGCGCAACATGCTTTCGACGTTCATTTTCAGCCGATACAACGGATAAAACACAGTCCACTCGTGTATGAACTTCCTCTATAGTGGACATACTTAATTTAGGAGCTTTTACTCTCTGTTTAATGTTACCGACATTATTGTGGTGATTATTGTGATGATGAGAGCGAGAATCATGTCCAGAAGAAACATTTCTATGGTCTTCTCTTTCTAAAAAATCCAATCTTGGTCTTTTTGCTTTTGGTGCGGCTAATTGAGAAGAAATAAGGTCAGCACTAGCTCTTGATGAAGAAGGGGGAGGAGAATACGATGAAGTTGAGGAAGAGCAAGAAGAAAAAGATTTTGGTGTGTAAACGGTAGACCCGTTCCGATGTTCTTGAATTCCATGCCAAAGTGTTAAAATGTTGCCAATACTTAGAGATGACCCATTTTTACCGCGTAAATCGCGGAGGAATTGTTCGTTTTCAATTAATAAAAGAATATCTGGGTCGTCTATGTCATTATCTAAAAGAACGGGCAGAATTAATTCAAGTCGACGATGAGACATGGCTGTAAATTGCATCAAAAGTCTCTTCAAAGCTTCTACGGGTGTTACCGACTCATCCATATCGTAATCCTATTATTCAAATACGAAAAAAAAAAGATAAAATAAAATAAAAAAAAAGTTGTTAAAATTACAAATAAAATTATTCTTAAAAGATTATCCAATATTTTTGTATTAAAGGAAAATATGTATATTTGTGTGTATGTGTATATATACACATACGCACAAAAATTTATGATTCCCCTTTGGTTAAAAAGGAAGGTAAGATGACACACCGAACATGCCTCACTTCTTGTGGTGTATTCGGTTATCATGGGATCCCCGTAATCTGAGTCGGACTTTGAATCTTCGTCTCTGTTAAGTGAAATGGGAGAATCTAAGGAAGTTCTATATGAGCGGTGTTTTCGTTTATTACGGTTCTTTTTAGCAAAATCAGTACTTTGAGTCGTATTGATGGTTAGTTGAGTTTTATGTGTTCTGCGGACATCCATTACATCAGGAGTCGCGTCTTCGTCTAACCTATTTACCGGTCTTGGGGAAGGTATAGGAGTGTTCATGGAAGGGGGAGTATTTACACCCGAAGAAAACCTTTCAAATACAAACTTTATTGGTTGCTGAGCTTGCGATTGTTGTATAGATAAAGGAGGAGGTGAAGGAGTAGGAGTTGGGTGAATAAGGGAACCAAGAGGATGAGTAGTCCCGCCGGGCTGCATGGAAAGGTTCACCGTATGAGAGTGAACGAGCTCTGAAGTTGTGTGAGACGTTCTGGCCGTCTGTTGAATTGACGGTGACTTGTGATGAGTATCTTCAACTAAAGACACATCGTTGTTATCCATTTGCACTTTGGGTTTTATATTTAGGAAGTTTTTTTTTTTTGTTGAGAAAAAAAAAAAAAAAACCTCAAAAATTTTTATTAAGACAAAAAAAAATCAGCCCTTTATTTTTTTTTTTTTTTTTTGGGCCTATTATAATTTGACAGGAAATTTTTTTTTATATTGTGTCATAATTTTTTCTTATTCATTTTTTCCTCAAGGGTTTTAGGTATGGTCTGGGAACTTAATTCAAATATTTGATCCACAGAATTCACACGGAAGCGCAAAAAGAAACTTGTACGAACGAACAAACAATGAGTACGCCATAAGCAAGTCATAAGCATGACAACCCAGTGACGAAAATGAAGCCTCCGGAATTTTGCATCTTTAGCGATGATGTGACGGAGGCCTTTGACCATAACTCACATGATTTATCTACCCTATGAAACTTATTTAGTAGTAGCATTTATATGTTCCAAAGGAAAAAAAAATGCATACCTAATCTATCTCACTTTTTTAGTATTGCTAATGAAAATTTTTAAGGTTTTTTTTTTTTCGATGATGATCAGATGTTTCTACAAAGTAGGAGATGACTATGATTATTGATAAAGTGGTAATTATTGATTGACAAAATGAATAATAACCTTCGAATTATGTTTCTCAATAAAGCTCCAAATGAAGATATTTCATTTTATCCAAAAAGAAATAAAATAAAATAAAAAAAAATATATAATTTTATTTTTATTTTTTGAATTCTAAAGTTGCACAACCAATTGAACAAAAAAAAATTGTTTATATTACTGTAATAGGATTCAATAACCATCTTACTATTATAGTCCATTTGTTATAATTAAAAGAAATTGGTTTCCTGCAATTATATAATCAGAAATAATTTTAATTTTCTTATCAAGTGCTGGTATTTAAATCAAAATGCCATATAAGGTGAGATCATCATCGCGTATTATGCTGCGGATCATTGTTACAAAAAACGTTAATACTTCAAAGACATAAAATGTAAAAAATATTTCGAACCATCTCAAAATCTTTTTTTGATTCATTATTTTTCCATGATGAGAATTTCCATCTTTAATCATTAGTTTGTAAATATACCGCAGTTCGCAGCAAGCAAAGATTGATCATCACATGAAACCCAAAACGAAAAAAAAATCATTTAAATTAAAATTATCTGAAACCATATAGAAAGTAGGAGAATTCTGGGCGTACCCCAAGTACCTTATTCTAATAACTATATGGTTTAATTTGGAGTGACAACAACCGGCTATCCTTAATTTGGTGTCGCAATCACGTGATTTTCTGTATACATTATATAACATCCCATTTTTTTACAAAAAAAGTGACCCAATGGCTCAAATTTTTCGTCTCAACCTTTTTCGTAACTCTCAACAGAGTTCTTCTCACCTGTTCTTTCGTAACCTTCCTTCACTATTCATTCAATCTTATTCTACTGAACCATTGTTTAAATCGAGACCAGCTCCAGTTCCATTGGCAAATCCACGGGAACAAAAAGAATTTGAAGAATTGGTTCGTAAAAATCAGGGTTCCTTTACTTCCGACAGTGTACAGATGGATGAAGAAGAATTGTTGTCATCAACGCATCCTGATCTACGAAAAAAACCTCCTCCTCAATTCGAAGGTGATAAAAATCCTGAAACAGGTGAAATTGGTGGACCTAAACAAGAACCTCTAATACATGGTGATTGGAGTTACGGTTCAAGAGTCACTGATTTCTAAAATAAAAAGGGAGGGGAGGATTTGGTGTGTAAAAAAAAATAAACTTTATCAAGAATGTTCTAGTTGTGTAACCAACCATTCTTTGTAGCACGAATCAAATACATTCATTCCTTCAACGCTTTTTTCACCCACTTTTTTATTTAAACAATGATCTATTCACTATACATAATCAATAAAGCTGGAGGTTTAATCTATCAAAAAGACTTTAGTGAAGGCCTAAACAAGCTTACTTCTAACGAATATTTGGTATTAGCAGGAACATTCCATGGGTAATTTTAATAAATAAAGTTATTTGGTTCTCTAATATTTATTTAAATCTCTTTAGGTTAAAAAATGAGACATTTTTAATCTGTAGAGTACATGCTATAACTTCAAAAATATCACCGGTTCGAAACGCAACTTCTTCGGGTTTAGAAGTACTTGAAGCGGACACTTTCAAATTATGTTGTTATCAAACATTAACAGGTAATTCTTGAAAGATTTTTCTAAATCCTTTTCTCCTCCTCTCCATAGTGCTAAATTTATTTATCAAATTTAGGTACAAAATTTTTAATCATTGCTGAGCCAACCCACGGAAACATTGATTTATTACTTCGTCGTACTTATGATATTTATTGTGATTATGTTATGAAAAATCCTTTTTATACACCTGAAATGCCAATTAAATCTGAATTATTTGATTCAAACTTAGCCAAATTAATTAAACAAGTTAGTTCTTAATTTATACTTTTTGCAAATTGGGATAAGCTAAATAAGTTGAACTTCCCTTTATTCTAGATTCTAAATAAAAGTAATTAATTTTTTTTTTTTACAATTCATCATGAACTGATTCATCATCTTTATTTTTCTCGAAATTCTCATAACAAACGCTTGGCGTTGTCATATTCATTAAATATTGACAATCTTCAGGCTCAGAAAAAGAAAGAATTTTGTTTTCTATGCCACATTCGAAATATACCTAAAATCAAGGATTTAAAAGATTTAGAATTAGAAATAATTATATTTTAAATAAATAAATAAATTAATTATATATATAAAAAACCTACCTTAACTGATCTGTCCTGTCCATTCCAACACCTTGCTCCATGATCATATAATTGTGCTGTATAATATTTTGGATCATCCCTTGATTCAGACCCAATCCATTTTGCAAAGTTACTAAAATATATCGATAAAAAAAAATATATATATTTATTAGTAAATAATAAATGAAACGATGATTCAGAACATTTATATCATCATACCCTATATGTGTATATTTATACTGAGCACTTTTTTGAGTTGCCTTGTCAAATAAACACACTGTGTAAGTGTATTGTCCTTCAGCGTAACTAACGCATGTCTCTTCTAATTTTGTAAATTCTTGCTGAGGTCCATAATCCCTTGAAAGTTTTTCGTTAATATCCTCAATTTCATTTTCAATACTGCTTTTCTCTTCTTTTGCTTCGTTTAGCGCATCATTTGCCACTGTTACTTCTGAAAAATATATATGTATCAAAAATAATTTAAATATAAAATTATTTTTTTAAGATTGATTTACCTTTGGATTTACCATCACCTGAAGGCCTAGAGAATTGTCGCTCGGATTTACCAATGGTATATTCTGATAATCCAAATGCTTCCAACACGTCATCATAAAGGTCTAAGAAAGCTTCGGCAACCCGTTCGCTTAACGAAAGTTCTTAAAAGCAGGAATCGGAAGGAAAGTAAGTTAACGTGTGAAAAAAAAAAAATTTCTTAAAATCTATAAATCCTCTCTTACTGGTCTGAATTTCAGGAACCTGATTCTCTTCCTCTATTTCATCTTCATAAATTTCTTCCTCTTGATCCAATTCCACTTCTATAAATTCGTTATATCTTTTGATGGCATTTTCAACAGCAACATCATTGTAATTTTGATTATGATCATTTTTCATTTCTTCCAGAATTTTAAGTAATGTGTCGATTCGTTCACGAAGTTCTTCATTCCGTTCCTGCAATGTTCTTAATTTCTCTCGACATTCCTTTAATCGGCCATTACCTAATTATGATCACAATTATAAATAAGCCGGTTAACATTCCAACGATATACATATGACGCGTCTGAAACCAACCTTTTGCCTTAGACTCGAGTTTTTCCATCTCTTGAGCCCTTTTCAATACAGCTTCGTATTTAAAATAATTTGTCGGTAAGTGAAATCGTTTTCAATAAATGAATTTTGATAAAATTACCTTCGCGTTCTGAAACTTTAACCTTTGCGGACTCAAGCTCGATTTTTAATCGTTCCAAGGAAGCTTCACGTTCCTGTTTCTTTGTTATACCATATTGAATATATTCCTGTCTTATCCGTGCTCCCTGCAAGGTAAAGAAAGTTACGGGAGATCAGAAACGAAGTTGTTTTTTTTTTACGATTATACAAATAATTGTATACCTCGATTTTAATATTGGCCAATTCTTGTATATGCCTACGATGTTCATCACCGAGTTCCTTGCAATTATTTGGACATACAATCTTTCCATCATATTCATCTGATCCATCACAGCATTCAGGTTCTTTTACAAAAAAAAAAAAAAAAAAAGTCAACATAATAGGTTCGTTAATTACAATCTATACCCAAATAAAAACTTTACCGCAAACACCATCATTTACGCGTTCGGATGATATATAAGCCGGAAAATACCCGACATTTGTACAATAGAACCTGCCATTTGGACATGCAGATGTGCCTATAAGGAAAAATATGAATTGTTGTCAAAACGGATCGAATGGTTTATTTATAATTAGATATTAGGAAAAAAAATTGCATTATTGAACTACTTGCCTGGTTCATCAGATCCGTCAACACAATCGCAATAATCATCATTAATTGCTTCGTACGGTATCGTTTCTGACCCGTCTAAACACGTCCATTCTGATCCTTTCTTCTCATAAAGAAGTGCCTCTATAAGGGAGACGTGAAATAAATACCAGGATAAATTTCTATAAAAATTAATAAAAAAAAAAGTTGGGTCACTCACCTGACTTTGCCACTCCTCTTGGTATGTTGTTGTTATCTTGTTCGGCATGGATTTGTATAGCAGAATAACTTAAGACCAACACCAAAGTCAATAATAATGGACTAAAAGTCATATTAAATTTAATTGAATTAAATATTTGTCTATAACTCATAATTCTACTAAAAAAATTCTTTTTTTTTAAAAAAAAATTTTTTTTCGTTATCATGTTATCGTGTCAAAATGTCGATCAAATCTTGAATATACGTCATGACACAGCTGTGATACAGAGAACTTAAAATCAAATTGGATTATTTGACTAAAATAAAAAAAGGTGGCTTTGAAGCTTGTTAACGTTAATACCAAAGGTACAAACTAATTATGATGTATCAATAAATTATATATATTTATAACAGAGACAATATATTTATTTTTTACTATAAAGTTACACCAATTATTTCAGATCTTAAAAGGTATTAATTCCGTTTCAACTACTAAATAAATTAGTATTTTTAAAAATTTTTTTTATTATCAGATAACAAAATGTGTTTTCATGTGAATTGCTTCTAACCATATTAAGTACACAAATTTATATACATTGTATCACCTTATAATAATTCCTACATCCTTATACTATAATAAGAAAATAAATAAATAGCGAATTACTTTTTTCAGAAATCAAATCTTTTCCAGTTACAATTTAAAAAAAAAAAATCATTGATTTGTATTTATATCGCAAGTTTCAAACACTACCAATAAATTTTTAAACTTTTTGACCACAATTACTCGACGATGAAGAAAAATATTGGAAAATTTAAGCAGGCGTGTTATTTTTTCAAAAATTGATATCATTACGTTTTGGAGGTTGTTTTTTAACCAGTAATCTTATTGTTGTTAATAGTGGGCGAACGAAAAAGTCGGATCAGGAAATAAAACACAGACTACTGAGGAATTCCAAGATTTGCAGCTAAAAACCGATGGGAGATATGATGGTCTCTATAAGCTTCATGTTGCAACAAACTTCTACATAAAGATCATGTGTACGTGTCTTTTTAAATTGGTAATTTTGATCTTCGTGTAGTTTAAAAATCATTTACATTAATGTAATATATATAGCAAAGAAAACGGATTCGGTAGAGGAAAAAGCGAAAGTTTTACCCTTAGAATCGCTTGGAAATACTATGAAAGTTTGTGGTGAAGAACTTGGTTCAGATTCTCCCTATGGTATGGTGAGGAAAAATTATTATAGATAATCTTTAATCAAAACTTTCAATTAATCTAATTAAATTTTCATGTTGAATAGGGATGGGATTAATCAAATTTGGTAATGCAGCCGAAAAGATTGCCAATGCACAATTGGATTATGTTTCACGTGTACGAGATGATTTCCTTTTCGGATTGACCTCTTCTATTGAAGAATTTAAACATTATCAAGTAAGACAATGAAGAAATTAATTCATGTGCTTTCTGATAGTAGATCAGTGCTAATTTTTTCATAATATGATTTATTAACTAGCAATTAAAAAGAAAATTAGAATCACGTAGACTTGATTACGATGCAAAACTAAGTAAAGTGCAAAAGTCAAAAAAAGAAAAACCAGAATTAGAAGAAGAAATGCGTGCTGCAAAAGAAAAATATGAAGTCGTAATGGAGGATATAAATAATAAAATGCATACACTTAATGAGTCAGAGGTTAGTCTTCTCCTGGCATAATAATATGTTTGGTTTTTAATTGTAGGATGTAGATTAATTTCCAAACATTTATAATTAGGATCAATATCTGCAGGAATTGACTTCATTTTTAGATGCCCAATTGGAATATTTCAAAACTGGACACGAAATTTTAGAAAATATTAAGAAAGAATGGGTTGAGAGGTTAGTATCATCATCATCATTATTATTATGTATTATTTATTAATTTTGATGATATTATTGTCTCCTGTGATCATTGATAGTTCTAATAAGCCAACAACACGACGTAAACGAGTACCAGTACGATCATCCACACTAGATTCGACTAATTCAAATTCTGATGGGGGTGGTGATCATACTTCAGAAAATGATGATTCGAGTGCTCATTCGTATTCGAATTATAGTAGGTCTAGGCATAACTCAAAGAGAACATCAAAACTTGTCAAGTCTGAAAGTTCTAATAGCCTTAATGTTCCATCTGGATTATCTCGCAATAAAAGTGCATCATCTGGATCATCTGTCAGATCTATTGAAGTAAAGAAACCAGGTTTGAAATTATAATATTACTTTTGATATGCTTTTATGATTACGTTTAATTAAATCTTTGTAATTTTTTAGCTGCCACGTCACAAATAAAACAAGTAAGAGCTATATTTAGTTATGAAGGTGAAGGTGAAGATGAGCTGGCAATTGAAGAAGGAGATACTATCACAGTTTTGGAAGAAGCCGAAGGGTGGTGGATTGGTGAAATTATTAATACAGATGGAACTAAAAGAAGTGGAATGTTTCCTGCGAACTATACGGAGGAAATTACTGAGTCGCCACCAAAAATGCCTCCACAAATGCCTCCACGTAGACCAACAAATTTATCAACGCAAACACCAGTTGAGCAGGAAGAACAAGAAGAACTATATGAGGAAGATGATGATTTTGATGAAGAACCACCACCAGCACAAACAAAGAGTTCACCACCAATGTCTCGAGATAATTCATATACACCTCCAGCACGTCAAATTTCACAACGTCGTTCACTTATTTCACAATCAAATGTATCGTCTCAAAGGCCCGGATCTCCAGCCGGAGGAATGCCTCTAATTCCATCTCGTAATTCCAAACCTTCCCCAGTCCGTAATTCTTCTGTAACATCAACAGCTGTGGCTCCACGTAAGGCTGCACGTGCAAGTTCATATGAATATTCATCGATTGGAAATAGTATTCCTAGAACTATGTCTCCACCTTCAACAGGTGTATCAAGAAATTCATATATACCTCAAGATTTTAATTTGGGTAGAGAAAAATCAAATGAAGATTTTGGACCTTGCAAAGAATGTGATTGTGATGATTATTCTCCCAATGTATTTAAAAAAGGAAGTTGCAAAAATTGTTTTCATATACACTAGAATTAATTATTATTATAACATTTTTTGTTAATTACTTTGTAAAATATCTCCAATATTATTTTTACTAGATATTTATATATACAAATATGGTATATACATATTATTACTTTATTTAAATTATAGAATAAAATATTATTTATTATTTTTAAATGTGTTAAATATACATATATAGACTAAATTGATTTTTAAACGGATTTTATATATATAATTTCAGCGAATTTAATTTAAATGAATATTATAAGTAACATTAATTTAGTAATTAATTTGATTAACATAATAAAAATTTATCACATATTATTCTTTCGCATCGCTCAGGACAAATAAAATATTTTTTTAAAAAGTTAAGAAATAACATTATATTTCTATTATTCACAATTAATAAATATAATATACTTTATTAAATTTATCTAATTTAATGTATAAATGTTTTATTTTCTTTATTTTATAAATATCACTAATGAATCAAAAATTATATTCGCTTCATATAAAAATGTTTAATTAGATTAAATAAATAATAAAATTTTTTTTTTATATATAAAATCCCAACGAATTAAATTAAAGGAAAAAAAAAAAAAAAAAATACAGTAATTTACAAATATATATATATTTTTTTTATAAATCTAAAAGTAAATTGTTAGGCGTACGATCGCCAATATTTACAACATCTACATGATAAGGATTTGACTCGTAATTACCAAGATTTCTATAGAATAATAGAAGGTGAAGTGAACAAAAACAATCAAGTGTTTTTTTAAAAGCAAATCAGTATACGTACCCAGAAGTAATATCATTTAATTCAGCGTCAAATAAAGTAGTTTTACGCTGTTTACCATTTTGAACAGTATTTCTGCTATTTAATACAGGAGAATTGATTAATTGTCTTGGTTTAGAATGATGAATAAAGGTTTGAGGAGATTTATGATAGATTGATGATAAACTTGAAATATGTAATAACAATTCGTCGAGCAAAGAAGGTTCCATATTATCACTTTCAGTTGAAATCCTTGGTTTTTCAGATAATACAACGGTCTACGAAAAAAAAAAAAAAAAAATACATTAGAACATTTTTTTCCTTAAAAAATTACCTTATTTCAATTTACCTTTGCAGCAGTAGGATCGGTTGAAAGTAATCTCCAATAAATATAACCCCTATCACGTAGATCTGGATTATCAACATCTTCAGTAGCCCATTTTAATACTTTAGGTACAAGAGATTGACCAGCCGTGGGTTTTTTAATAAATAATTTTACGGTAGCAGTTAATAAACTTAATTGTACTTCAACCGGTTCCTCCAAAAACGTGAAAAGATAATCATCTAATAATTCTTCGGAATTTACAATACGATCGGCATATTGACCAATGATCCAAATCATAGCAGATTTTGCTTCAGGTTCATCCAAATTATCTAAATTTTCGCATAAAGTACCAATAATACTTTCATATTGATTAGGATATTTTCGAAAAATATCTTTAATAACCACTATGGCTTCTTGGACTACATAATTCACTTTGGTTTGTATCAGTTCTAATAATGCCGATATACATTTATCGGCGGTTACTTCTATTTTTACCGCCAATCTTCCAATTGATCTCACAGCCTTTCTCACAAAATCAACATCAACTTCTGTAGCATACCTATAAATGAGGCAAAAAGTTTTTTAAATGTATCTCTATCCATCGATTTCCTTAAGGATAAACTATACTTACTCCTTTAATTCAGATAAAACATGATCAACATTACTCGCATTTGCCAAACGAAACATAATTTCCAATTTAGCTAATTTCACATAAATAGGATCATTATATTTACAAAAGAAAACTTTCATATCTTTTCTTAATACTTCAGGTCTTTTTTGTATAATTAATAAAATATTACGAAGTGCAACGTATTGTACTTCAGGTCCATTTGAAAGAATTGTCACTAATGGTGGAGATAATTTTCTACAATTCATATTAATATCTTCTTCTTTTGTCATATAATTCATAAAATACATTATTACTTTAACTGCTGTCAATACTACACTCGAGTTTGCATGTTGTAAACGTGGTGCAATACGTTCACATAACATTTCTGCGTCTCCCATTTCTTGAGGAACGCATAGCATCAACGATTCAAGTATATAAGTTTGTCCCCATCTAATCAAAAAAAAAAAAGGAAGTAAAATTAATAATCTAATCCTTTACTTGCAATGAAATCATTGATTAAAATTGCTTACTCGGAGCATTCGTTAAGGGCACCAACTAATTTAAAAGCAATGGTCATATTTAATTTTACTGAAATTTTTTCTGACCGTTCAGAAATTTCAGTTAAAGCAGCAACAGAATTTGCGACCACAGTTGGATTTGGATCGGTTAATAGATCTCTTAATTTATCAATAAATCCTTCATTTTCCACCAAAGTTTTATTATGCATATACAACTTTGCCACTGTGATTGCGGCGGTTTTACGAACGTATGGATCTTGATCTTTTAAAGCATGTTGTAATGGTTCAACTAATGCTTCAACTATCTTATCTACGTTAAGGTAACCCATCGTCCTTATTGCGAATGCTCTTATCAATGGATTTCGATCTTCCACATCCTAATAGTTCATTGGGAAGGAAAAAATTGGATTTAGATCAAAATTCAGGTTAAATGAGTTTAAAAAATTACATTAACTACCTCCTACCTTAATAAAATTTGGAATGGCCATTACAGCCATGTCAGGTTTTGATCTTGAATAGTTAATAAGATAAAGATAAACCATTTTCTTTATTTCTAATACGGGTATTTGCATACAATTAATTACATCAGAAAATAAAGGTGACATATCATTTCCCATCGTCATATTTGCTACTATTTTTTTCAATACAGTTTTTTTCTTTGTATATTGTTTATCTTTTTTTTCCGAGTTTAACTCGGATCGAAGTTCTTGAATCTTTCCTAATAATAATGATGAGTGAGTTTTTCTTTTTATTCAGGGGTTTATTTCCCTAGAAAGTGTGAAAACGAAATACCTCTTTGAAAATATTTGGCGTCAGACATTTTTGAAGATAACCGTGGAGAGAAATTGCGACGTTTTTGGAATATCAGTAATGGCGACTCCCGGAAAAATGGTATCCGGTTTTATTTGCCGGCGACGCTAGGACGGTCGTATTTCTGAATATTATTTCTAAATAAGTAAAAATAAAAAAAATTTAAAATAAAATTTAAAAAAAAAAAAAAAAACTGAAAATACTCTTTTTTTTTAAAAAAAAAAAAAAAATCATGATGGGTAAACGAGGGTCAGTTTTAAGTAAATTTCAAAGCTTTGATGCATACGCCAAGACGCTTGATGATTTTCGTGTCAAAACATATTATGGAGCAGCATGTATGTGATTCTTAACCGTATGTAATAACTTGTCTCTTAAATCAATAAATTTTATTTTTAAATTTTTATTCTATTCATTGAAAAAAGTGACGATTATAAGTGCTATTTTAATATGTATATTACTTTGGTCGGAATTCTCTGATTATCGTACACCGGAAATGAAACCGCAATTAGTAGTGGATAAAAGCAGAAAACAGAGACTTGAAATTAATATTAATATTACCTTTCCTCACGTACCTTGTTATTGTAAGTAGGAATCTTTATTTTTTATAAGTTAGAAAATAAATATGGTGAAATTCAATGATTTTATTTTTATTTTTTTCAGTATTGAGTGTAGATGTAATGGATATTGCGGGAGAAACACAAAATGATTTGGCCCATGATATTTATAAAACTAGAATAGATGGTGATGGAAATCAAATTCATGTTGAAAAGGCTCAAGGTACGTACCATATCACACATTTCCATTTATTTAATTTAAAAAAATAAAAAATGAAAATGAAAATGAATCATTTTTTATAGATTTGGGAGATCATACAAAAGAATTACACAAAATATTAAATGATACAACAACACAAGATAGTGATGAACCTTATTGTGGTAGTTGTTACGGAGGAGAGGCACCAGAAAGTGGATGTTGTAATACATGTGAGGAAGTAAGGGAGGCATATATTAAAAAAGGGTGGTCATTTAATGATGTTGATAGCATTAATCAGGTATGTTCTTTTTTTTATTGAAAATACCTCTCAATCATAAATAAAGACTTACAAATCTCATTTCTTTTTTACTCAAGTGTGTAAAAGAAGGGTGGAAAGAAAAGGTGCAAGCTCAATCAAAAGAGGGTTGTAATGTAGCAGGTAGCGTAAAAGTAAATAAAGTTGCTGGTAATTTTCATTTAGCTCCTGGTAAAAGTTTTCAACAAAATAATATCCACGTACATGATTTACAACCTTTCTTAAGTGATAGCGTCAATCATGATTTTACTCATGAAATACATCATTTAAGTTTTGGTCCTAAAGTACAAGGTGTTGTAAATCCTTTAGATGGAATTGGCAGAATTGTTTCTCAAGGTAAACAAATATTTATTATTTTTTTTTTCTTTCCTTTATTATACATTGGGCTTATAATTATTATCATTACTATAAAAATTATTTTAGGACATTATATGTTTCAATATTTTGTTAAAGTAGTATCAACACAATTTCATTTTTTGAATCAAACAACAATATATACAAATCAATATTCTGTTACTCAATATGAAAGAGATTTAACTGGCAAAGATACAAGTGGTCATGTTCACTCTCATCAAGGTGGTCTTCCAGGTAACTCTACTTTATTTTTTTCTTTTTTTTTTAAACCATCAATTATCTCTTAAACTTAAATTATTTAACTTTTTAATAGGTGTATTTTTTAATTATGACATCTCTCCAATGTTAATCATAAATCGGGAAGAAAGAAAATCTTTTACTCATTTTTTAACAGGTGTATGTGCTATTATTGGTGGTATATTTACTGTTGCCGGTATACTAGATGGTTTTATTTATAATGCCGAAAAAACATTCAAGAAAAAAGTCGAATTAGGAAAACATTTATAAATATTAAAATATAATTATTTTTATAAAACTAATTATTAATAGATAGAATTCATCTAGAAAAAAAAAATACAGGGGGAATTTATTATTATTATTATGTTATTCTAATAAACAATATATAATTAATTACTTTTAAGGTCGCTTTTTTTTTTTATTGATATCTAAATTTTTTTTAAATTCTATGCAAAGGAAAAAAAAAATTCCTTTTTTTTGTTTTTGTTTATATACAGATGCAAAATAAAAAATTTTTGTGCCAAGGTATGCCGTTTGTATCCCATCACCGGCAAACGCATTCATATAAAATTTACTATTATAAAAAAAAAAAAAAATGATATAAATATTATAGTAGTTTATATTGACATTTAAGAATTAACACCAACCAATTTTAATGGATTGGAACAAAGCCACCAAAGGCAGCTTCAACCAACAAGAATAATGGATTTTCCTCATCTTTCACGGCTTCATCATCGTTGTTTCCTAAACCGGCATTGTCTTCATTATCTTGACGAGGTCGTTTTACTGCACGTTCTCCTATTATAAGGCTTCTTTTTTCGACGTTTTCATTTTCTTCGGAATCTGTTTGGATTCGCATGTTCATCGATGAGGACGAACTTATCAACGATTCAACTGCTTCATAATCTTCAGGTTGAAGTTGCCTCTCGTCTTCGTAATTATCCCCATTTGATCCACTTGGTCCCGCTTTATCATCATATTCATTCCGTGATAGTTCAATTGCTATCGCCATTTGAACATCTTCATCCAGCTGCTCGATTGCCGATGATGGTTTTTTTGTTGTTGTTGTTGCCATCGTCGTCGTCGATGTTGTCGTTGTTGTTGTTGTTAAAAAGGCGGGGGAATCCGTGGAATTATAATTGTTTTCACATTCGCTCTCATCCGTCCTAACGGAAATGAATTCTTTTCCTTTACATCCATCGTGAGCTATTTCCTTACCCTTGCCTTTTTCGCGAATAAGGACCTCATTTTCTCGGAAAAATTCCTTCCTTTTGCCTTTATCGGAATTTTGCAGAGGAACCTCACCTTCTTTGCTTGATGACTGCACCTTTTCTGTGGCTCCCGTCATTTGCAACATTTCTTCTTTTTCTTCATCCATTACCGCCTTTAACTGCCCAATCCAGTTCAATCTGATACTTTGTTTTGGTAACCTGTGTAAAGTTTCGTTGAGGTAAAATTCCGGATCGCATTCAATCCGCCGCCTTTCAGGAGGAAGTTCGATTGCAGTATTATCCATATAAGGCAGAACATCTTCTCCACGCAATCTACGCATCGGAGGCTATTATTTAAAGATTCAAATTGAAAACAAAACTCTTTTAAAAAGGTAAATATATCTAAATAATATCCTCATAAATATCTTTTGCTTACCAATACATGATCCGCGTGAAGTGGACACATCCACTTCTTGTGCAATGGAGGTGCGATTGTAAGGGGTGGTGTCAGACAATCAAAGTGCCAATGTTGGTCACAAAAATCGCATGACATTACCGGTTTCAGATGTTTCGGAGGTAGCTTGCAGTTATAACAACGAATTTGCTTTCCTTTTGAATCGATAAATTTTTCCCGATCCGGCTCTACTGGGTAACCCCTTTTGCTGTGATGAGGAATAAGGGAAATCTCGAGGTTAATAAATATATTTTTATTCTCCCAAAAAAAGAAAAAGACTTTATACTTACTCAAGTTGTACAGGCTTCTCCTTATTAGAATCCCGAAATTCTCCATGCTTGCCTGCAAATACTAACGTGATTATATATATACGTAAATATATAATGGATGAGGTAATAACACCATTTACTTGTAAAATGGAAGGAAAGAAAAAAAAAGGAAAATTAGAATTATATATGTGTCAAACTAACTTCCGTCAAACGCATTTCTAATATGTTCCGGCAACATAAAGGATGTTGGATTTGATGTACGAGCTCTATCTTTCAGTTCTTTAAAAAGGTTGCCTTTACGACGACCTTTGCGACCTCGTTGTTGTGGTTGACGAGACTGAAAAAATCGCGAAAATACACGGTTATCAAACTAAAAATCATTTTAACGATATCAAAAGTATGATACTAACACTTTCAGCACCACATTCTCTACAATACCAATTTCCAGTTGGTGGATTATCAACGTCAAGCGGAGGTACCAAACAAGTAAAGTGAAATGCCTTTGGGCACCCGTCACAGCACATCATACGACCTCCGTACGTACATACATCACAGTGGTCGTTATTAGTCTATTTTAACAAAAATATATTTTTTTCATTTGAATGAAAATCCACATTTAAAACATGGGGTTTTGCTCGTTCCAAAGATATTCTCATAATATTACCTGTGCATTTAAAGGAGCATTCCTTGCTCTGCCTCTACCTCGGGCTGTCATGGTTCTTCTGGAGGATCTATTATTTGAAGAAACAAATAAAAAATTTTCAACCAAACAGCATATTAATAAAACTTTCATTTACGAAATTTAAAGCTTACCTCATTTTAATTCGATAAAATACCTTAAACGGTAGCTTGGGTTATTGATAGCGTAAGTTAATGACAAGTTTAAGAAAAAAATCTTTTTAGCGATAAAAGATCATCAATGAATGGTATCTCGAAAACGAATTTCAGGCGTGCAAATTTACGATATTAGGTGGAATGTACCTTCTTGTGCTACAGTGATACAGAATGGACATTCATTCAATATCTCGACAACAGGGGATAAAAAGCCTCTTTTTTCGAAACATTGAATCCTGTGTCAATTTCTTTCGAACTTAAAATTAAGTAGAGTTTATCATTTGAAAATGGTATTCAAATGTTTAAGTCCGAAGGATTCATTTCGATTAATGGTAATATCGAACTATTATGAGAAAATGAATTTGTCTCAAGTTTAATTATTTGATCATTAATTTGACTCTCAATCACACATTTTTTCATTAAAAAGTAAAAGCTTTCCTCTCCCGTGTTCCAAATCGAATTCTTCATTAATGTAATGTTCACATCACAAAAATCTGATACCCCTAGGAGCTAAATTAACATATGGGTCGGTATTTGCGGATAAAAAACACTCCACATTATTATACGGGAGGATTACTTCATCACTTTAACTCGAGATGTAAATCATTGAGAAGGTGTTTAGTATTAGTTATTGCTCGGAATTCAGTTAATCAAAGCGTCATAATTAATAAACCAATTTATCTCTTTTTATCCGTCTATGAAATCGAATTCATCGTCTATGGTTTATTACCACTTGATGAATCAATCATACGAATGAATCAAGAAGAGTAGTATGATTTATCTATATGAGATGAAGTAAATAATTAAACAACCCTTTTTTCGATCTTAATGCAAAGCATATAGTAAGTCTCTCATCACCAACATCATGCGAAAAAGTATATGTTACATAAAATTCTTGTATTTCTCATATCATGCGAAAACCAATGTTAAGGTCATTTTTTAAAAATAAATACAAAGAATAATATTAGGATTTGACCTTGTTTTTGCCTGTAGAAATATATAAGCATACGCTTTTAATTATTATTATTATTAAAGGATAGAGCATTTGAAATCATTATTTGATCGCCCCTTCATTAAAGAAATCAATTGTGTTCGTACATTGAAAATTTTCCATATAAAAGGCTATGCTTGTGACGAGACAAATTTTGCTTTTAATGTTTTTGAATAATTTCACGGATGATCTATTACCAATAGGAAAAACGGTTTTTTCTTGACTTCAATTATTAGAATAATTATCCTTTAGATAAGTTAGGATATATAATACATTATTTTTCTTTCCTAAGATTCAAATTAAGATTTCTGGGTAACAGTCTATTTAAAAAAATTAAACCTATATCAAACTTATAAAGATGGTGAAATTATATCAAAAGTTAGATGAAACTAAAAGGTTTGAAATTTAAAATAGGTTTAGACAAGTAATTTAAGATCAAATATTTCCATATAATATTATATAATATCATCTCATTCATGTTATTCTCATTAAATAAAATTTCTTATTAATTATTCTAATAGTTTTTTGATGTTTTTTTTTTGTTTAAATATCAATCAGAATTTATAAAATATAAAATATATTATACTTTTTATAAATTATTAATGTATTTTTACATTTATTATTATTATTTAAATTTATTTTCTAATTGATACCATTTATATAATTTTATGCAAACTGCCTCTTCTAGAATAATAGCCTTGAAAATCTTTAAGATTGATATTAACAGAAATCAGTTAGTAAAAAAACTGGAAAAAATTATCAACCTAATTTTGATCTTGATAGTGTTTTATTTAAGAAGATCAAAATTCTCGTAGTACCTATAAATAGAATTTGTTTTTGAAAATTAAAATATGGAATTATCACAGAAAGTATATAAATATTTTATATCCTTTTCTAATAAACACTATATTTATATTCTCATATGCTAATCTGATAAGAACTTGAATAATCTATGTTTTTTTATTTTATTACTTACAAATATATTTTATTTTAACGTTAACTAGTTAAATTAATGAAATATATATATAAGTTAAATAAATTGAAAGATAAATATTTAGTTTTTGTATTCAGTATTTACTATCTATTAGATTTAAGGTTAATCAATACTTTCTTATATATTGTAACATTCTTTTTATTTTACATAAACCTTAGAGATACATTACTTGTACATATTTTTTAAAATATTTTGAAGTATAAGAATTCTGTTAAATATGAGTATATAGATAAAAATCTATAATAGAGTATTTAAAACTATCAAAAAAGATTACATCTAATTATTATTGATCATAACAGTGTGTAAAATTCATGTGCACAATGTGCACATGTACACATTAAATTTTTATGTGCACATATTACACAACATAAAATGTGCACAAATAATTACTAAAAATAGATAAATTATATATAAAAATGGATAAATTATTTATAAAAATGGAAATACTATATAATACATGCATTAATTTTCTATTTTTAGGATAACTTGTGCACATGACTTTTGGTCTAAATTTTATACACTGGATCATAATAACCCTGAATATAAATTTTTTATTGAGTTTATATAAAAGTAATAAAAGTAACAGATATAAATTAAAGACCAAGTGGAAATTAATATAAGAAATTAAAGGTTAAAAGTCTAGTTTAGAAAGATTTTTACAAAAAATTAAAATTTATAAGATTTATAATATTTTCTTTAATAAAGAATTTTCATAATTAATATTAATAAACTATATGTTGTGATGAATAAAAACTCTATAAAATTACTGCAAAATGTTAGAAAATTTCAAATAGTTTATATAAGTAAGAAAATTCATAGAAAAGTTTCAAAAAATCTCTTTTATCAAAAATATTTCTTAAATATTAAGAAAAAATTTAATAATCTTTTAGATTTGATAGAATCCAGATATATATATATATAGGTAAAATGATCAAAAAAATTTTTAATATAAGCTTTACACAGATAATTTTTATAACAGCAATAAGCATAATTAACATCTAACATTAAAAATTCTATAAAATTACACAAATAAAAATTTTAATTATTATTAGTAATACCGTATAAATTATTGTTTAATATAATCTTATAAATATAATAAATTTCAAAAAAAAAAATTTTTAATTATAATAAAATAAAGTAATAACTTTTAAATACTTTTATTTGATACTTTTTTTATAAAGTATGATAATTTTAATATATATTTATATTGATTGATATAGTATTTAATAAATTACACAAAAAAATATTTAAAAAAATAAAAAATTTGAAAATTAATACAATTATAAAAAGCTATTACTCAATGAATATTAAACTAATTGAGATAAAGATTATATAAGTAAATTTAAATATATAAAGTATTTTTACTTAATGCGTAGTAAGTAATTTACTTTAACTAACATGCTCAAATTAATTTGTGAAGTTAAAAAAGTATAACTAATTTAGTAAATTACAAAAAAAATTACTGCACAAATATTAAATCAAACTTGATAAAATATTAGATATAAATAATATCAAACCTGCTAAACAATTTTTATTTAAAGATAAAAATAATTGACTTTGACCAAAGTGCTTAATTTTTATCATAAAATCTCTGTATTAATGTTTATAAAAATAAATATTAAATATATATAAAATTAATATCTACTAAAATAAAAAATTACATTTAATAAGAGTTCTTTTAAGTTTAAGTATTTAAGTTTAAAAAATAAAATTATTTTTAAAGATTATGTTAAATATGAGAGTATTTCTAGAAAAACCAGGTTCTGAAAAATCTTTGATTAATATTAAGAACTTAATACATTTTAATATAATAACTTTAAAAATTAAAATACAATAAAATCTCAAATTTGCTAAAAAATTCTCAGAATCTAATTTTCCTAATAATCAACCTATATAATAAAATTGTTTTTTTTTTGTTAAAAAAAATAAAATTAAAAAATTGATTTTCAGTGATATTAATTATATAACTATAATTAATTATATAACTGTAATTAATTATATAACTGTAATTAATCATCAAATTAAAAATTTTCATATCATTTTGTATATAATGTAAAATTTGCTAATTAATTACTATCCTATAATTATTTACCATCTTATAATTAATTATCACCTTGTAATTATTTAATATATATATATAAGACTACTAAATTTAGACTAATTATGCAAATCTAGATAAATATTTACCTAAAAATACACAAATTGATAATTTGACTATAATTAAAAAAGTTTTAAAAAATACGCAAATTAAAACTTTATCTTATTCAATGTCTCTATAATAGTTAAGTATTATTAATATTAAAAATTTGCCTTAAAAAAATAATTTACAAAAATCATTAGGTTTAATTTTATATAGATCATATGAGGCCTTTGCAATAGAAAGGGAGGAAACTCAAAAAAAAATAAAAAATGAGTTAATAATAAATCTATACAAATTATAGTATTTAGAACATTTTTGGCTTATAAACTAAAATTTTAATTTTTTTGGAGTTTCCTCCTTTTCTATTGCAAAGATCCCATATTAAGAAAGATCTTGACTGATATACTGTATTAGAAAATCAGACTGATTTATTTAATTTATAGGATTTACAAAATTCACCTAATTCACCTAATTTATTTGATTAATTTATTTTATTAAATTCTTTATATATTTATTATTTTTATTATTTCTTTTATTTTTATTATCATTATTATTTATCTTATATTTTATATCTTTATCTTACTATCTTGTATTATTATTTTATAGCTAAAATTTACTAAAATAATTAATTTATAATATAAAAGTAGTTAGCTGTAGCAAATTTATTTTGTATAAATAGAATAACTTTTTACTCAAGTTGTAAATTAACTTTTCTACGAATTTTAATATTATAAATAAAGGAATCAATTTAAATTT